TATTTATTCCTATTTACATACCCGGGTCTTTTAATATTTATTCCTATTTATATATCTGGGTCTTTTAATATTTTATTACTGTTTATATACCCGGGTATTTTACAATTTACTAAAATCTTAATCTATGTTATAGACCCGGGTATAGTACATAGTAGGTCTGATATCTGGGGGATCTTGTATATGGCAGTTTATGGTACTTACGTCTAAGATATTTGTCTTAACATAGATATCATCAAGTTCATCATTATTATGCTTTAAAAACAACATATGTTCGAATAACTTAGGTTTCAGCATAGTTCTTTTAATAGTCATCATGTTATTTGCATCGCTAAAAAGCCTTTCACTTGGAGTCGAAGTTGCGGGTACTGTAAGATATTGCCTGGCAAGTTCACTAAAAATAAATAAAGAACTTTTTTGAAAATTCCACCAAGGTAATGGGTTTTCTCTATAGTCGAGGTTAGGTAAGAAAAGATAATAGCCAAGCTTGTCATTTGATTCTTCAGGGGTATCTTGCATAAAAATCATCTTAAAAAATGATTTTTGATAAATCTGATGCTGTTTTTCTTGATTATTTTGGTGTTGATTTTCATTGAAACTAGAAGATCTATTAGATGATATTGAATGTTAACGAATAGATTTAGTATCATTATACTTAATACAAAGAGCAACCTCGGCCAGTTGTCGCTGATTTGGTGCTGCAAAATACAGTTTTTTGCACCTTGGATCAAAGAGACAAGCAAAAAGCACCTCATTATTTGACAAGTTTCAATAGTATAAAAGCATATTATATAGGGCGTTTTTAATTTTAAATCTTATATTTGTAGTATTAGTAGGTGTATTAATACTGATTTTTCTTTTTTTAGAACCCTCTTCTTCCTCTTCTTGAGCGTCGATAAATCCAATATCATCGTTAAATGCTAGGTCACTGTTTCGTAATCTATCTCATTTTTTAGTATATCAGAATTGCTTGTGTTACTCATAAGGCTTTTCATTAATTTTAAAATAGACAGGAATATATAGAAAATTAAAATATATTCAGAACCACCAAGTTCCTCTGTAATTTCAGAAAAAGGTTCCAAAATATTAACAAGGTCCTTCATTAAATCCCATTCGTCATCCGTTAATTGTATTTCTTTTAATCTTTTTGTATCTTTTCGAGTATCAGGCATGGTAGGGATATTTAATATTATTAAAACAATATCTATAGTATCCTTAATAAGCAAGAAGCATTCCAAAGCTAGAAAAGATAAATTCTAACAAGTTGGCATGTCCATTTTGGCATGAAGGTATATTGAAGTTTTTTTAATAATCTATTATAAAAAATAATTTAGGCTATTCAAAGTTAATATTTCAGTTTAATACCAATTTTTTTTAATAAAAAACCTAGCAACTCAACGAAACTAGCATAATTGCCAAGATTTTTAAGCAATGATTATATAAATGATTTGAGTAGTTATGCTAGAGAGGTTTGCCAATTCGGCTTTTATATTCAAAAAATTTTTTAAAAAATCTAATCAGCCGGGTTATTAAACTACGCGAAGTTAGTTTTTCGGTTTGTATAATATCGAATCAGGAAATTGGGTCGGTCAGTCATTCTTTTTTTTTGCTCCTGTCAGGTAAAACCAGTTAAAAATAATGGAAAAAATAAATAGTAGAAATCAAATAATTGGCAAAATTGGCACTTAAAAAAAAAAAAAAAAATTTAAAAAAAATTGAAATTGAAAAAACGGGTTGGTTGGGTTATGCAAACGAAAAATCAACTTTACGTGGCCTTAAAACCAATCTGTTAAATTTGTATAGTTTTAGTTGTACAAAAGATTAATAATAAATTACATTTTGATCAGAAATTTTTAACATTTTCTGTGCATCTTCAAGTCATTCGTTTTGCTTTGGTGCTATAAAAAAATTGATTAATCTCCAGGCTCGTACTATAAACATTTCAGCCGGCATCAGATCTTTTCCAATAACAAGGTGTAAAGTATAAGCTGAACAAGGAATTCTTACAATCTTACTTATATCGTTGATTGCTGCCTTTATGTTGGTTCCGTTGTCTATCGTGATCGTGTATATCTTTCTTGTAAGACCCCAATCTGCAATGATATTTTCTAGCTTTCCCAGATACTATCAGCAGTATGTGGATATCTAACATGAGTTAAAGAAAGTAATATTTTATGGATTTTGAAATCAGAACTAATCCACGAACAGGTAACTCCAAAAAACCTCTGCCTGTTGCAGGCTGTCCACAAATCTGTAGTAAGCAAACAAGTTATTGTAGTATTTTGTAACTTTTCCCATATTTCTTTGGCGTACTGATTATATATTGTATGAATTGTTTGTTTAACGCTTCTTTCGTTGGGCAACGTAAATATTGGGTCTAATTCTTTTACAAATTCATGAAAAAATGTATTTGATACAATGCTAATTGGCTATGCATTGCAAATAATAAATTTAATAAAAGCTATAGTGAGCTTATTATTTTTTGATTTGTTATGCAAGTAAGTGGTTTTTATGAATGAATCAATTTTAGTTTGCATAGGATATATAAAATAATAAAGCAAATTTAGTTAAATCTTAAATTTTTTAATCACAAATTAATAATTTACTAAATTTGTTTACTACTTTGTCTTTGTCAGGTGGTAATCCAGGACCATCTTGTATAATACCATGTTTGCTTGAGAGGTAAGATATTAAATTCGATGTCGAGCCACTTGGAACTTTTAATCGAGCATTGTATTTTTTATTTGAATCATCTAACATATCACAAACAGCATATATAACTTTGATATTAACTGTTTTGTCATGTTGTTGGACTGTTTTAATTACTTTTTGCTCTTTGAAGTATTTTCATACCCAGCTTTATTTTTTTGAACTACCTTTTTGATTTAATTTAGTTTTTTTGAGATAGGCTGATTAAGATTTTTATTATCAGTTGTATTTCTGCTTTCTGATACTGGGCTATTCAATTTTATAATAGGATTTAAAAATGATTCGTCTAATGGCTGAACTAAAAAGGATGATAGCAAAGTATTTTCTTCTTCTATTGGATATTACTGATGAAAATTCTTGTGTTACTAAGCGAGAAGCTTTACAGAATATTAGGATAATAAAGTGTTATTTATAAACTTGCAATTCGAAGAGCTAAGTATTGGGTTATTAACCACAATAATTTTTTTTATTGACTTCAAATTCTTTAGTTTTATATATTTTTAATCTTGAAAACTTTTTAATTACACTAATTATATTAATATTTCAAATAACTCATGCAGATATAATATTTGTGAGAATTTACGCCAGTTGGTCGTATATATAAACTAGAAATATATGGTCTTTATTCAATTATTTACAATCGTTCATGCTCAAACTTGCATGATTACTTATTTATCATATGCTACAACTAATATTTTCTTTATATCTATATGCTAAATTTATATAGATAAGCTTTTCGTATTTCAATAACTTTTTTTTGATATAATTCTCCCCAAAAATTCTTTATCACAAGCTGTTTCATAACTCTGGATCGTGTAGTTACTTCAACGCTGCTAAAAAAAAAAATTATTTGAAAAGCTCACGATTAATATTGTGTAAATGGCTAATGTTTTTCAGAGATCCATTGAACTCCTGATATTCTTAATTCTAACAATCTAAAATGAAATTAATAATTCCAAAACTTTGATGGTTAAGAGATTAAATAATTAGATAATATATTTTAAAAAAAAGTATGTTTTATATATAGGGTGGAAAATGGATAAATGGATCAAAAGAACCAGATCCTGAATCAGTTTATTTGAGGACTTAATTGATAGTCAGGTCCTAGTTCAAAATTGCAGTTTCTTAAAAACCGTTTCAAAAGATTTAAGTTCAAAACTCTATTTTTTTTTAGTTTGAGACTTTGATTTTGTTCTATAATAGCACTAGTGTCACTGTACTAATACCAAAATCATACTAACGAGTACGTACATTATATACGTGTGGGCCAAATGCAACTCTCACTTGATATAATTTGGACTTAGTATTAAACTGGTCTCAAATTCAGACTTTTATGAAACAGAACTGAACAGGATCGAACAGGATTTTTACTATCCTAATTATGTAAAAACATTCAATGAGATTATGTACGTACTTGAATTGAGCCAATTCGTGTATTCAAAGAGAATTACTATTAGCTACTGTATATGTTATTTTCCAAAATAATGTATAGCTTAATTATTGTGTAATACCTAGAGTTATAACTTTATTAATTATTATTTTCATATGATATATCTGAATTCAGTATCCAGCATATATCCGTATATGTGCATGTGATGCTAATGAAGTTGTATCGTAAATGGCCGAATAAAAGACCCGGGTCTCTTAGATTTCACCGATTTTAAAACTTATAATACACTCTGGGTATAGTATATTGGGAGTATATATCATTAAAAAGAGAATTTTAAAAAAGCACGTGTATTTTTCATTTTCAACAGATAGTTTGTATATTTGAAAAAAACTATTATTATTGCAGATTCTGTAATTCGTATCCGGGTATAGTACATAGTTGATCTGATGTAGAGATTTTTTATCTGGCCATTTACGGTAATTGAAAGAATAAAAATCAGAAATACTCAATAAATATCTGTAAATTCTTTTACGGCCAGTTATAAATATCCAAAATTTAGATATTCATTCAATACTATTCATGGGTGAATCAAAATATTCTCAAAACCCAATCCCGATGTG